AAATAGTCTCTGTCAATAATTTTCCTCACGTCGATCAGAGGATAAACACCTCAACTGCGCGAAACAGCAATTTTAGGGGGTGTTTTTTGAGGTTAGGGAGGAACGCTTGAGGTATCGGTAAAAAATACCACCACATTCGTGTTCATCAGCACAAAATACATGAAAATAGTTGTTGTTTGGAATTTTTCTGAGCCCCTGTGATTTCTGACAGCTTGATCATTTCGTAAAGCAGTATTTTTTTAAGGTTAGGGAACGCGTAGCTCCGTCTGGGAACAAAATTTTAAAAAACGCCACTCAGCAATCGAAAGTACATAAAAAATGCTAAATTTCCCTTGTATTTAAAAATTTTTGGATCAAAAGTAATTTTGGGCAGAGCTTTGTCACGTTTGACGCGGAACGTCCCATATATATATATAATATGGGCGTGGCACATCCCAAAGGTGTGGAATTTTTTATCAGCTATAGCTTCGGAACCATAAGTCACATAAACGTGAAACTTGGTATATAGGTGCTTATAGTAAGGTATACATAAATGAGTTTGTAAAAGGGGGCGTGTCACATCTCATAGGCGTGCAGTTTTTAATCAGCCATAACTTCTGAACGATAGGTCACATGAACTTGAATTTGGTATGCAGACATATCAATGGTACGCAGGTGCTTATAGTAAGGTATGTTATATAGATGAGTCTGTAAAACGGGGCGTAGCGCATAACACAGGCGTTGAATTTTGTATCAACCATAACTTCGGAACCAGAATTTACATGTCCCCTTTAATTCTTTCTGATATGCCTTTCCTACTTACAGGACTCAGTTTCCAGTTCGCTTAGCATTTGCAATGGCAATAAACAATAATTCCTTAAAGCAAAACCCAAAATTTATCGAAAATAAAATCATGATAATTGCATTGGAAAATACATTTATGTTAATATAGGCTTTGAAGTATTAAAAAACTGCTTTGAAATAATATTAAAGTTATTATGCCAAAGAAATTAGATAGCTAAAATTTTAATATTACAACATTGGTATTTCAACTATTACTTACTTACATATCGTCGTTTAAAGTACAAAACCGCTTATCGTCATTCTGCAAAACCGCGTATCTGGCATTTGCTGCCAAAAATTGGATTTGCTCACACATCCTTCTGGCTCAATTCTTATCCATTCGTCCTGAAATATACCTGCCAGAAATACGATTGTTTTATAAAAAAGAAAACCATTTTGAAATATGAGTATTTTTACTATCTAGGAAATAATTTATGCAACCTCACTTACGCGGTTTTACATTATCTTGATACGCGGTTTCGCATTTTTTTGATACGCGGGTTTGTACTTTAAACGACGATATATTATTTATTGGAGATATTTTAATGTAAATAAATAAAAACACCTGCTGTGCCAAAAAGTTATTATTACATTTCATTACATAACTCCAAGCTGTCCTTCCATATTCTCCTATAGCAAAATTAGAGAATAAATGAAAAATAACATCGTTAAATAAAGTATTTTTCATATTTGTATGAAGACGTGGGGAAACCCGCGGGTAAAAGCTAGTTTATTATAAAACTCTAAAGGCATGTCAATTTATATGAGGTAGGTATTTATTAGTTATAGTCTTTGTGATCTTTGATTTTAGCTATTTCATTCATTTATACATCCGGTGATTACCAATAATATTGGTCTGTCATCTGTCTCCATTAAAAATATCTTCTTAGGTGTTATTTTTCTCATCACACGTTAAATAGGGAACAAAAGTATAAATTGAGTTCCAATGACGCCTTAATTGAGGGAAATGGTGTTGAAGCTCAGCAAAATCGATGTTAAGGATGTTTTGCATAATAGTTATTTTATTTTACAGCGGTACCTACTTGTTCTACGAAGATGGAGATGTGCATAAGCCTCGGTTGAAGGAGCGCGTGTGGATTCTAAATAAATTCCATTTTGACGATGTAGCAAAAGCAATGCTAACTCTGTTTACTGTGTCAACGTTTGAAGGATGGCCTGCGTAAGTCTTGTTTCTTTAATACGTACCTACATATATTAAAGTATTTTTTTACATCACGGAGATCTTCTATTCAAATTTAAATTATATATATTAGAGAGCTCCAAAAATTTTCTTGAGCGAAATTCTATTTATACGCATAGTCCCAACTTTTTTTTCCATTTCACCAAAATAACATATATACATGTATATATAAAGTTTTATTCTTGAAGTTGAAGTTTTGGTTCCACAGTTATATCGAAGTTTCCATAAGAAACCTCAATCAATAATCTCAAACGAAAAATGTGATGCTCAATCGCAGCAAATCTACATTTTTAGTTTTTCAGTATCTTATCCAATCTTAAGGCTACATATTTATAATTTAAAGGGCGTGATTCGAAACCGATAATTTAGAGTATTTTATAATTTTTTCGCATTCTTGTCTGAACGTTGTACAGACTGGCCTTAAGAAATATTCAACAAGAGACAACCACTACTTTTACCAACTCTCCCCCGTCAATGCCGTCATTGTAGTTAAACCATCTCCTAGTGCATACCAAGAGGTTTATTTGCATCGAGAAACCCGCGTGCCTCTGACGAAATTAAGGTCTGGTTACTTTAACGGATTAAACTCTTACTTATTCAGGCTCTGCCCCAAAATACCCAATATATGTATACATACATATGTCCAGCTAGAATAGCTCGTCTTAAAGTTATTGTAGAACGATATAATGGACCAAGGTATGAAGTCTCGTTTTTCTAAAACATAAACTTTAGCTATGCTAAGGCAATTTGGGCCTGAAAGACTACAAATGAAAGACTAGTCACCTTAGAAGCAATTGTTGGAAATAAAGAGCGACCACAAGATGGATGTTATCTTGAAGTCAGTTCAGAAAAGTAGTTAATCACACAACTTGCCCAGCTTTCTCAATTAAGGAGCTCGTTATTTTGCCTAGGATATCTGCGCTTAAAAAATTTTGCGCTTCTTTTTATGCATACCTAAAGGATGGGTCTTTATTAAGTAATCTAAAAAGTAAATTTCTAGAGAGGTATCTTAGAAATAAATAAAGTAAATGCGCGTTAATCCAGGTCGCAAGATAAAGACGGATTCTCTAAATATTTCGACTCCAGCGCCATTTGTCTGCACCATTTTTTACAAAAGTATATTTTATGATGCAGAGTATTGTTTTTAAATTCATAAAAGCTGCCCTTTTAGCTTTAAAAATCTGCAAGTATATGCGAAAGTATTAAGCTGCGCTGACGAAGTCGCGGGTATCAGATTGTTATATTATAAAAACAAAAATCATACAATTAGTGAGATCATTAGTTTTAAACTACATAAAGATGAAAACAAAATGAGAAATAACAAAATTCAAGCTTCGCGTTAAAAAAGAGTTGCTTTCACTAAATATGAAACTTATCGAAGACTTATGTCGAATTTCCAATAGTCATTAAATATAACGACGCCTGCGCCCCTTATCGGCTAAATTTTTTGTGGAATTATTTCTCTCCATGTAAGTAATATACTACATATTCCAATTCGGGCCATATATATGGGCTTTTAAAATATCGATCGGCACGGCACAGTGTGGTTTCCATTAAAAAAGTGGGTAAAAATAGAATTATGGACGGATTTAAATGAAAATCTGTTTCTTAGTAAACTTGAGGACACCTAATTCAAAAATTAAATTTGTGTTTTAATAAATTTCATACGATTACTGTAAATGTAGTTTGAAATTGAAAATTTGGGTTTTGTAGCATTTACTATACTTACATAGATATATACAGTACCTCCTACGATTTTGAAAAGTGAGGTCTTAAATTACAGGGCTTGGCCTGTAGATGTGCAATCGAGTTTATTTTTTTTGAAACGGGTTGCCCCCTTTCACTGATCAAAGCTCGCAAGCGCGACCGATTGCCAACGTTTTGCGATGAGATTTCACCATCGTAGGAGCTGCAGGCTATCACCGCCCTTACATATGTATCCCTCTCCACTTCCGCGAAGGATCTTCTCGCTGCTCATGCGACTTTAGATTGAAGGATAGCTTTGTTTGTTTGGGCTCCGAGTATTCCTCCCTTGAACGCTTTCGCTCGCCCTGTGCGGGTTCCGCTCTCGCTTTCGTCCGATTTTCAGCCATAAACTTCCTGGCCCAATTTTTTGATTCCAGCTCTTCTCAGGTCAGATATTAAGGCTTTTTGTCCCTCAGTCTTTCCAGCATCTCTAGGGCTGACCGTCTGGTACGATAGTACCGTTCCGATAATGTTTTTCTGGGGACGCCTACTGCCCAGGGTGACATTAGTGCCAGAATAGTGTGCATAGGTGGCCGTTGGCTTACCCATGCAGTCCGATGTCGCCGTCGCTTCTTTTGGTGTTGCAACTATCGGTGCTTCCTTGCATCTTGGAGCGGCAGGAACCGCGGTAGGGTTAGCTTGTCTTTTGACAAGGTTACCCTTGCCTCCCTAAGTTTTATCTGCGAGGGTGGGTCTGTTTCCGGCTCCGGGCGGTTCAACTTCCTCACTAACTCGTCTGGAACAGGGTTAGACTGGTTGCCAGAAAGGGCCACGATGCCGTTAAAGTAGTGGATTTTTGGGGTTCTCGGATATACAAGCCAGGTTTTTTATTTGAAATAATTGTCCCATAAATATTCGCACTGCTCGACGTGGCGAGCGTGACAGGCTACATAAGGGAAAGATAGGGTGATATGGGAGTTAAGGGTTGTGAGGAAGAACATAGTATCGTCGGTCCGGTTCTCTCCGCATGTATGATTGGAGCATCACCATGCCCGCGGTTGCATAGTTGGTTAGTTAACCAAGCTCCATACGAAGCTTCCCTACTCGTTCGTGGCGGGTTATATGCCCGAAGTAAGATGTAAAGTACCACTTAGACGTCTAAGTAAAAGTAGTCCCATGAGGTGTATGCTCGATCCTGGCCTGGCCACATACTTTATATTGCTGGGTTGTTTGTCCGAGGAGCGGATTTTTGGGTTTTTCGGATATACAAGGCAGGTTTTTTATTTGAAATAATATTCCCATAAATATTCGCACTGCTCTAAGTTGGGAGCGTGGCAGGCTACATAAGGGAAAGATAGGTTGATATGGGAGTTAAGGGTTGTGAGGAAGAACATAGTATCGTCGGTGCGGTTCTCTCCGCATGTATGATTGGAGCATCACCATGCCCGCGGTTGCATAGTTGGTTAGTCAACCAAGCTCCATACGAAGCTTCCCTACTCGTTCGTGGCGGGTTATATGCCCCGAAGTAAGATGTAACCTACCACTTAGACGTCATCTCCAGGCGGAATACCTACATCAATTGTTATGCGATGAGTTTTGCCACTACGGCGGTGAGTTTTTTCGCACCGAGTGGTTATCTCAGTACAAGTTCTGAATCGAAACTTCAACTTCAAGTCGGCATGGGTTACCTTCAACTTACAGCAATAAAACTTTGCATACATGCTATCTTGGGCAAAAAGAAAGAAATTGTGGGTATTCATATCGAATTTCTCTTCGACTCTGGGACGCCCGAATATACATACAGTGCCGAACAGAAGTATTGGCACAGTGAATTTTTCGCAATAAATGCAAAGTTTTTTATTCTAATTTATTTTCGATAATTTTTTATAAAAAAAAAAGTTCCAGAAAACATAATAATAAATTCTCTAAACTTTGTGCAAAACTCAGGAAAATTCATTAAATTTGTACACTAATTTGCAACTTTTTCTTCAGATTTTTTAGAAAAATTCTAAGTATGCAATTTTATAGCCCACTCAAATTTAGTATAACAAAGTGCAAGTTTGAAGTCGCGAGAAAATCGCGTTGATTTTTGGTAATGTTTTTCAGGCAAGTTCTTCCATATAAAGTACATTCGAGCAACGCCTTTCAGCAACCAAAATCAACGCGATTTTCTAGCAACTTTAAACTTCCATTTTGTCATACTAAAATTGAATGTTAGAATAAAAATCTTTGCATATATTGCGAAAAATTCACTGTGCCAATACTTTTGTTCGTCACTGTACATATGGGCCTTCAAATGGGGGCCCCGGATTTTTTGCAATGTTCAATATGCATACTCTTATATTTTTTCCTTTTTTTGCTAGATGATGTGTGTATATATAAGGATTTTTGTCTAAGTAATTAAGTAGCTCAAACTGCATTCATAAGTGCCGTTTCTTAGGTTTTAGACTCTTCAATAAATATTTTGCTTCCACAATTTTCTCTGAATTCGAACTACAGATGTTCGACGAAGCTTCTTTTCTGTAATTTCTGTCCGAAGGAATAAAACTGGATGTAGCGCTATAATTTCGTACGCTGAAGTGAACGACTAAACACAAATTCACTGCTGGTTTCCTACCATGTGAAGTTTCTATTAAAACTCTCACAAAAAAAGAACGCATTATTTTCCTTTCTCCATCGTTCTTACATGCCACCTTTTGTAAGTGAGTGCCAAACGTCGGCTTATTTATCAAACATTTGTTTGTTGGTGATTGAAAGTAGATTTGAGATGTCATTTATTCCTGCCGAACGTGCGTCGATCCAAGCTAAAACATTCATTTCCTAAAGCAGATAACGAGAAAGAAAAAAAATGGTAAAAGAATTCAGGAAATAAATGAAAAGATTGTTTGTTCCTTAAAAAAAAATAATCATTCTTGAGACGGGGTTCCTGGCGGCCGCCACGTCTGGCACCCGTATGATCCGCCCCTGTTTTTTCTCCGATTCTTATTTTAATACTCTAATGAATTTTAAATTAATTATTTTATTATCGTACACATAAATTTCAAAAATCAATTTATGTAAATATACTTATGAGTAATTTAATTATTGCAGGCTTTTATATGTATCTATTGATTCAAATAAAGAAGATGGTGGGCCTATACACAATTTCCGTCCTATTGTGGCTGCATATTATATAATTTACATAATTGTGATTGCTTTCTTCATGGTAAATATCTTCGTCGGCTTCGTGATTGTTACATTTCAGAATGAAGGCGAACAAGAATACAAAAATTGTGATTTGGACAAAAACCAAAGAAACTGTATAGAATTCGCACTTAAAGCGAAACCAGTACGGCGGTACATACCAAAACACGGTATACAATACAAAGTATGGTGGTTCGTCACGTCCTCATCGTTCGAATATACGATATTCATTTTGATTATGATCAATACTGTGACTCTTGCAATGAAGTACCATAATCAGCCGCCATGGTATACAGAATTGTTAGATGCCCTAAATATGATTTTTACGGCGGTTTTCGCGTTGGAATTCGTATTCAAGTTGGCTGCTTTCCGTTTTAAGGTAAGATCCGAGAGTAAGCAATGTTTAAATATGGAGCCGGCAACTCATAACTTGAAAAATTAAATATTATATACTAGAGGATTGCTTTAAAAATACTAATTTAAACGAAAAAATACATAAGCACGTACTTAATATCTTCATAGAAGAAAAGTTCCACGAGCCACATAAATTTAATTTTGAGTCGTATATTAAATTGAAACTTTAACATGAAAAAAGTTACTCATACGCCATGTATATAAATTATGCCAAATTTTTTTTGACCATTCAAAAGTTGTTTATTTATCCATCAATTTTCATCATTAGCAGGGACCGAGAACAAAAGGTATGACCGAAACTAAATGTCGTTCTCGTAGTTTTGTTCATTCAAAACTAAACCCGAAATGAGAACAAAACTATCAAGGATGTTCTCAACGGGAATTATATTGGAAAGTTCCCGAAGAGAACAAATGCGAACGATACTTTCGAGATTAGTTCGAAGAGAAAAAAAATGTGAATAAAAGTCCCCGGAAAGTTTTGGTAAGGAAAAAAACGGGAACAAAAGTCTAAGGAAATTTCTCTCGAAGAACAATCTGGGAACTAAAGTTAATGCCAAAAGTAGTCAAGTGCATGTACGTATGAGTGTATTCGTTCTCCCACTCCTTTTTATTTCTGCATTCCACATCACTTTCTCTTTATCATGTTATAAATTTTGCAATGGAGTATGAATGATTATCTTAATAAATACCTCGAACTCAAAAGTTCTTATTAAATGTTATTCCTTGTTTATAATCCTTTACTGAAACCCACCCTCAATTTTCCACTCTCGAAAAATATATAAGCCATTTCTGCAATCTACCTCAGATTACAAGTAAAATAAAATATTCAGCACAAGCTATCACATATTCATCCACGTTAAATTTTCCCGGCCTCTGATACATCACAACTTCTGCACTAATTCAATATTCAATCCATCGTTGGAGGCGACTTTAACGCCTGAATCACTGTCTGGGATCTGATTATACGAACGCTAGAGGACAAAAAACCTAAGATCCATTAATATATATTATCCAACTTATGGACTCACCATGCCTTGTTGACATAACACATTACTCTATAAACATAGCCTCGAACTGCCAGTAAAAAGTCCATTGCATTGCATGGAAGCCACCACGTCCCTATTATAATGCAAATAAACTCAGTCTGCAATGAGTTCTCAGTCAAATTTTCTTCGAGATTCCAGGGACCGAAAATAACTGTTATTTAAAAAATTTTTAACTAAAAAATCATTACGAGAAAGCTTTCACACACATAGACTTAATTTTTTTAGCATTTTCCAAATTCGTTTTGATTGTAAATTTTGACCCAAAAGCTAGGAAGTAGCAGTTATTTTTTAACCAATACAATTCACATCAACTTAATGTGTTATTTTATGACTTTTATTTTTTGAACCAGAAATAAAAGTGCTATTATGACAGATATTTTTTCTGCTTTTCGAAACAGTTATACTTAGACTTTTATTTTTTCTGTCCTAAAATAAAAGTCCATATTGACTTTAATTTAATTTAATTATCGTTGAAAAAAGTTACCTTAAGACTTTTATGTGTAGGAAAACATAATGAAAGTTCTTTATTTTAATTTCTATTTTAAAATATTTTCTGTAGAGTTTTAGGCTAGTGGAGCAGTCTATAGAGAGTTCATAGTTTTATGTCACATCTTCTGGCCAATTCATTGTGCATGCCAAATTTTGTGTCTGGTTTAATTTTTGTTTTTTTCATAAATAAAAAAACACAATATTAAAAAAAAAATATCATGTGGGTTTAGCTTATTTCGTTTTCAACGAACGTATTTTTAAATAGTTAAATAAAGCCTGTGAATTTGACATACATGACCCTGTAGTACGGGGGCGCGACTACAGGACTGATAAATCGGTAGCTACCTAGTAAACTCCGTCAATTACCGACCGACTACTTGCAGCGTATTTCATCGATTACTTTTACAAGGCAATGTCCTAGGCGGTAGTCACCATCGGCTCTCTCTGCACTACCGGGAGTTACTAAAGTAGACACTTGCGTGATTTATTGGCGCCCTCTGTCGTAGTTTTTCGCTATTCTGCTTCCGACTTGTTCGACTCTGCACTACCATGTGCACTACCACGGGTTAATAGAGTAACCACTTTTACCACTTTTACCACTACCCGTGCAGGGAAAGCTACCAGTTGTGAACCAGAATGCTACCAGTTTGTGTTTCAGCCCAACTAGTTCACGTTGTATCATTTTTCAATGTTAGCGACTGGTATTTTTAACATGGCGGTGTCATAGGATATGTCAATTGTCCGCTCCTGCATCAGCACGCTACCAGTAGAAATACTAGTAAAATCATACCAGTTGACGGGATAGACTGCCTATTCATCCTCCGTGAAAAGCACAAGTATGCCTACTTGATCGCGGCGCTGCAACAGGAGCAAAGGTCGACAGAGTAAAGCTTTGGAACGCCAGATCAAGAGATCCGAGTCCGAATCTCAGTGAGCGAATCTTTTTTTATTTTAATTTTTTTGTTATATTTCTTGTTATAACTTTTAAATTTGTTGTTTTAAAAAGAACAAAAAAGTATTTCTTTTAATTTTTTATGGTATTTGAGTATTTGGTTTTTTCCAAATGAAATTAAATTTGTGTACAATTTTTATTTTATATTTAAATTAATTTACGTACTTTACTTTAACAACCTCCACGCGCACTCGAGCCTGAGATCTCAGAACCAGATCGGTAGTTTTCACTCGACGCCACAGCCGACATTTGTGATGAAAGCAAGTAAGTTAGTTTTAGTCATGGCTGTTCAAAGACAGATGTCGCTGATCGCATAAGTTGTTCGAAATCGTCTGAAATGGTAGGTCGTCACTTTAGCGCATACTAGTTAATGAACTAGCTTTTATACTGGCTGGTTTGGCATTTCACTGCTGAGAACTGGTATAATTTAGTCCATGACTAACTGGTATGCCTTCCCCATTTAATACCAGTTTTCGAACTAGAATTTCTACCAACTAGTTTACTTTTTTCTATGAGGAACTAGTATAATTATGGTTCATAACGAACTGGTATGACTTTTATCCTTAAAAAATAGTTCGTGAACTGGAATTTGTGCATATTGTGCTGTATTAATATTAGTAAATTGCGCAAACTATTATTTTAGCGACGAGCTCCACATAAAATGGTAACTTATTGAAATAGGTACTTATACATTACGTGCCTCTGTATCTAATAAAAGCGACAATAGTCGGTGTTCTTCTCTTTCGTATGAACACATTGTTATCTTATACTGCAAAGACTTTGCTTTCTTATTTAGACTAACTACAATTTCAAAATAATTAAAATTTTAATTGGTATTTTAGAAAGCACTGAAACCACGCAAAGAAAAGTATACCTTTGTATAATAGCCTGTAAGAACCAAAATATCGTTATTTTTCTATTTTCGTTTGCAAAAAAAATTCCCACCTTAATTACTAACTATGGGTGTTAAGCACCCAGAAAAGTCACAACGCTACTACTATAATGGGTATATTACGCGCAAGTCGAATAAAAACAAAAACAATGCTGTGGGCACTGAAGTGATTGTTGATAAAGTAACTGCTGCTAAAAGTGTTGTTAGTGCAACGAACACTACATCTGGTCCTGCTGTTGAAGCTGCTACTCTCGCTAGTGCTCACACTTATGCTGGTGCTGCTAGTTTGTCTTGCGATCATTCGCTTTTGGCGCCTCGTTCTTCACAAATGGCGTCGACGTCGGCCGCCGCTGTTACTGCTTCTGTGTCGAATGCCTCTGCCGAGAACGAAGTAAATGCACCCAGTGGGAATGCTGGCGTAAACGTAATTAATGCACCCAGTGGGAATGCTGTCGTAAATTCAATTAGAAATCTGAGCAATCCTATTGTGGTTGGTTCGAGTGATAACCTTGAACTTCAGGTTGCTCCTAAAATGATGTGGCTGCATCTGTCGTCTTTTTCCTCAAACGTGACGAATGCTTATATTATCGCCTATGTTTCGAAGCACGCTGAAATCAACCCTAAGTTTGTGGTGTGCTATGCCCTCGTTAAGCGGGATGTTGATATTCAAGAGTTGGTTAAAGTTAGTTTTAAACTTGGCGTGCCGCTCTCCTTCTACGATAAGGTAGTTAACGCGAGCATCTGGCCTACGAATGTTCAGATACGGCCGTTTCGTTCTTTTCGCAAGGGCGGGCCACCTCAACACGGGATTTAGTAAATACACATTCACACAAAGGTCTTAAAATTTACTTTCAAAATGTATCAGGCCTAAGAACCAAATCCGACTCACTCTTTATGATGAGTTCAAACCTGGATTATGATATCTTTGTAATAGTTGAGACTTGGCTTAATGATACCTTTATGGATGGTGAATTCTTCGATGAAAATTTATATTGCGTTTTTCGTAAAGATCGCGACGCATTAAAAACTGGTCTGTCTAGAGGAGGAGGCGTTTTAATTGCGGTTCGACGAAAATTTCGTGCGACTTTGGTGCCTATGCCGAATACTGATTCCCTATTGGATATTCTCTGCATTTCTGTTCATGGAGTCTCTAAACTTTTAATTTGTGCTTCTTATATACCTCCTTCTAGTAGCGACTTACTTTATAAAGAGCATGTTGATAATATTTTAGCCTTAGCATCTAGTCATGAAAATGTTTGCGTAATTGGCGACTTCAACCTCAGTAATTTAGAGTGGTCTACTTTTGACAATAGTAGGGGGCTTCTTCCAAAGTCTTCAAATTCGTTTGCTGAAACATATTTGTGTGACGGGTTTTCAAGATGTGACCTTAGTCAGATCAACAGTTTTAATAACAGTCTTCATAGAATATTGGATCTCGTATTTTTAAGTGATAACATGAATTTTTGCCTCCAGGAATGTTTAGACCCTTTGTCCAATCCTGGTCCGCATCATGTTCCGCTGGTTCTTCATTTGGAATTTTATGAGTTTAATACTTACGTAGAGGATACAATTTCCAAGTTTTGTTT